CTAGCTTGGCCCTAAAACTCTCCTTGAACCCCAGTGGGCCTCAGCAGATGGCCGCTCACACTGAGCCTCGTTCTGCTGGAGGTTTCTTCCTGTTCAAAGGGAGTTTTTCCTCTCCACTGTCCCTACAAGCATGCTTAGTGTGAGGGATTGCTGAAGAGTCAATGAGTCGATGCAATCAGCTGGTTTTCCTTAGATAGAAAACTTTGAATCAATCTGACTGGATGATCTGGTGAACTGGAAAGTTCCTTGAGATGACATGATGTGAATTGGCGCTATAAAAAATAAACTGAATTTAATTTTATTTTATTTATAAGTACAGGCCATTTACGATTTTAGAAGCGCAGTCTGTCGATGAACTATTGATAAATGATCATAAAAAGCTCAAAATATATCAATCTATCTGTCTTTTATTTGACCTTTTTATTGGTTATTGTTTAGATTCCAGTCTGAGCCAGTCTGGATCACCTCAGGCTCTTGTGGACAAAACATAATCATTTCCATTATATTACGGTTGCCATAAGAATTGAGGTCATTTTAATCTTGTGCTTTTTTTACTCTGTTGTATCCTCTTCTGCTTATCCGGGGTCGGGTCGTGGGGGTATCAGCTTCAGTAGGGAGTCCCAGACGTCCCTCTCTCCAGCCGCATGGTCCAGCTCCTCCCGGGGAACCCCAAGGTGCTCCCAGGCCAGCAGAGAAACATAGTCCCTCCAGCGTGTCCTGGGTCTCCCCCTGGGCCTCCCCCCGGTGGGACGTGCCTGGAACACCTCACCAGGGAGACGTCCAGCAGGCATCCTAACCAGACGCCTGAGCCACCTCAACTGGCTCCTCTCGATGTGGAGGAGCAGCGGCTCTACTCTGAGTCCTCCCCGGATGACTGAGCTCCTCCCCCTATCTCTAAGGGAGAGCCCAGACACACTACAGAGAAAACTGATTTCAGCCGCTTGGATCCACGATCTCATTCTTTCGGTCATGACCCAAAGCTCATGACCATAGATGAGGGTAGGAACGTAGATTGACCGGTAAACCAAGAGCTTTGCTCTTTGGCTCAGCTCTCTCTTCACCACGACAAACCGGTACAGCGCCCGCTTCACAGCAGACGCTGCACCAATCCGCCTATCGATCTCCCGCTCCATCTTCCCCTCATTCGTGAACAAGACCCCAAGATACTTAAACTCCTCCACTAGGGGCAGTACATCCTCTCCAACCTTCACACTCGGCTGCTAACCGCTCCAGTGAGAGCTGTAGATCACGCCCTGATGAAGCAAATATAACCACACCATCTGCGGAAAATAGAGACGCTATCCTAAGGCCACCAAAACTCTGTTTTGGTTGTATTTAAATGAAAGTTCAAGCTAACGAATGGATCCACTGTTGGATGTTTGGTACCAAATGTCCATCTGTTCCCACCAACACTAGTGACCAACAGAGGTGTCAAGTAACAGACGACAAATACTTTTTTATCTTACTAAAGTAAAATATTGGCTAATTATTTTCTTAGACAAATTTTTACTCTTTACATTTTAAGAATAAACTCATTAGTTTTGTTTCATTTAAGGTCATTTTCATTATGGCCTGTTGGTATTTAACAAAAATAAAAGTTTCATCCAGACAATAAATGTCTTTGTGTTTGGACTTGGTGCTGCCCCCACTTGTTGCTCACCGCATACCAAAATAAATACTTTTTCAAGATGATGCAAAGTTAAATTTGACACTGTTACCATTAGTTATAAAACTAAGAAAATGAAGTCTAAGAAAGTTATCATCCAGAATTGTAGAAAAATTTTCCTTTAATGGGATAGTGCAGTAAAGCTTCTGGCCTTTTTTTTTCCATTTTTCCTGCATTACCTTTACTTTTATACTTTAAGTAGTTTTAAAAATGATACTTTTATTGGAGTAAAAAGCTTAATTTGATCCTTTAACGTCTGCAAAAGTGTTTTTAAACAGTAGGATTGATAGTTCTACTGGAGTAATAAACATTAATACTTTGGACACCTCTGGTTACCAGACTCTAGTAAATAATATCTGCCATTCAGAGTCACTATTTTATAAGTGAATGAAGGTAAAGCGAGTAAATGAGTCCAAACTTGGATCAGAACAAAAAAAAAAAAGATTAAATCAGGGTGTTATGAAAATCTTTAGAGATGAAATATATACATTTGTTGCCAGAAAATCAGCTGATAAACATGGTTTAAGTACTTTAACACATTTGTAATGAATCCTTTTTTTTTTCCAGGTGATGTAAATTGAATTATACAATAACTAAGCATGCTTGTAGCGACAGTGGAGAGGAAAAACTTTGAACAGGAAGAAACCTGCAGCAGAACCAGGCTCAGTATAAGCAACATTCTGCTGAGGCCGACTGGGGTTCAATGAGACAAAAGCAGACAGAAAATGACGCATAGATACAAAAGGCAACTATAAAAGGCGGCCCCGTCCAGGAAACACACAGCCAGGCAGACGAGCTCCGAGCCAGCTCCCATGTCAGAGGATGAAGAGAGCACATCCAGTTAGTCACAGTCAGAGAAACAGGACTACACTGGAAAACAGGCCAAGCTCCAAGATCTAGAAACAAAGGTGTTGATGGCAGCAGCACAGCTGATATTTCTCTCCAGGATGGAGTCACAGCCAAACAGGAACAGACCAGATGAAGCTACTATGAGAAAAAGCAGAGAGAGCAGAACGTTAGAGATTGAACTAACAGATTCTGCAGAGTGGGAGATTAGAGATAGAATGAAGCAGAATGATGAAAAAGGGGTCCCTATGTCCTCCAGCAGTCTAAGCCTATAGCAGCAGAACTATAGAGATAGCTCAGGATAACCTGAGCCACTCTAACTAGAAGCTTTATCAAAAAGGAAAGTTTTAAGCCTAGCCTTAAAAGTAGACATATATTCACTCACTCATTTTCTACTCTATTATAACACAGGTATACCCAATGTTAACCAAAATGGTAAAAATAGTGAAAAATATGTTTATTTCAGCCATTAAAGTTGCACCTATTGTCTTTAAATCAGTCATCCAACAGAAACCAAAGACATTTAAATGTTTGTTGTCGATGGGACGGGTTCATTCAGTCTTTCCAATGTCCTACCGAGACACTGGGTGTCATCTCTGTCTCTCTATGATCTCAGGACATAACAATGCGAGGATGAGAGGACAGAGGCTCTGCACCGTCCTCACATGGTGAGGAGGCTCGGCTGGTTAATGACTCAACCCCAGAGCTGAGAGCTCAGACCGACCTGCCTTAAAAAGGAAAACTATCCCTGCAGGCGGTGAATGTTTCCCCTCATGGAGGAACATCTGCTAACATCTGTTAAACCGTCATACGATCAGCTTAAAGGTGAAGAGCAGCATCTGACTGATCATCTCCCTGAATGAGGATTTTATTTTGATTTTTTTCATTAAATAAATCATGTTTAATACTTAGCAGCTGATCGTATGAAGAAAATGTTAAATGGAAGAAACAGAAGAGTTCAGGGTTGCATATTTTCCCATTTACAGCATAAACTGATGAAATAATGAACACATTAATGTGATTTATGCAGAGTATGACTGCAGCTGGTCCTGCTGCCGCCTAGATCATGCACTCATCATAAAACCTGGTTGGTTTCATGATCGGATCTGATTGTGTTTAACACTTCCACTGCAGCTTGTTGCTCCCGCATCTATTAATAGGGTCTGATTGTGTGAGTCTGTGTGTTTTCATCCCTCTGGGCTTCCTCACAGAGCTGAAGAGAAGATGCAAGCTGATAGCTGAGGTAAACATCTCCTCCTCCGTGTCTCCCGAAGCCTCGGCCTCCTCCTCCTCCGTCGGTGTTCAGGACTATATAAGGCAGGTTCCTGTGATGATAAAGTGAGAATTGTTTGCCAGGGAAGGTTTAAACAGAAAGGTATTCAAAGCAGGAGAATTATTGAGCATCGGTGGTAATTTTCTCTTAACAAATGGGTTTAAAACTTCTAAACAAACAAGTTAATTATAAGTTTAGGTGATTTTATGAGTGAGAAAAGACTTAATTATGCTCATAGAATAATAGAAAGATATTCAGTGGCACATAGAAAATTAATTTAGATGAGTTAAATGTACATACCAAAAGAAGAAGGTCACTGAATTCCAGTCTGTTAGAGAACATCAACTGGGAGAGTTTTGTTGAAATTTGTTCTCAAAGTTTGGTCAAATAACAGGCATAAATGGTCTGTTTAAGGTCAAAACATGTCCCCTTACATGGATCTATGTTTAGACTTTGAATAGACCAAATCTTTGCAAACTCTTTTTTTTTCCTTTTATTCATTTTAAGGTGAACATCTAGATTTGTTTTGGGTCGTTTTTCTGCTACATAACTCATGTATGTGTGTGCTGAAGGTTAAAAAAGAAGATTAATTCTCCATGGTTTTCTATTAAATCTTCCACAAGAGTCCTGTTGAACTCTTAGTTTAAAAAGCTTTACTAGTTTTACTCCATAACTAACAGGACAGCAACAGTTTGACCTCCTGGATGAGTTGTTGATTACCTCATGGGGCCACTTTGGTTGGTCCTCTCCTGTTTTCTCCATTAGTAAATAAAGGTCCTAATTATGGTTCCCCTTAACCATCCAGATTCATGTCAATGACTTTTTTTCAGACCTGTTCTTGAATTTCTTTCTTTTTTTTTTTTGTTGTTGTTGCTTTTGCCATATTTTTTATACTTCCTGTTTTCATACAACAGCAATTTAGGTCGAAAACTACTCCCCAAAATATATTAACTCTTAAATTGTGATTTAACAAAGAAAAAAAAATATTTTCCACAAAGGGGCTATTTTTTATTGTTTTTTTTTCTTTTTTTAAATTTTATTCAATAATAAAAAAAGAGAGAATTATTTAAACATTTCATTGTATTTATCTGATATAAACGTTTGTTTGATGATCTGATACATCTACGGAAAAGGATCAGGACCAATGAAGAAATAAAATTTAAGTTAAATTTAAAGTTAACTGATGTTTAAATATTATTTCAGTTTAATATGGGAAAAATCATTAATCTCAGAATTTTGGATCTGAGATATTATATTATATATCATATTATACTGGAATAAAATTCTAAAATCAGTTAACTATTTTTTATTTCTTCAGTGGCCTTAATTCTCTTCCATATACATCTGATGTAAATAAAAGAAAAAAAACCTTTTCACTCCATAGTGTCCCGAAAATCCCTAAAAGGGTAATTGCACCTCCTGGCCGCTGGGTGTCGCAGGCGGTCTGTGGTTGTAAACATTGCCTGCCTGTTTCCTGTGTCACAGCGGCGGAGTTTAGACTTTGGGGGTGGAAATTAATGCTGGTAAGCATCGTTAAAGGATAATCTAGTGTCTGAATTATACTGGAGGTGTTATTTTCTAACTCGAAGCCGATTTGACTTTGGTCAGTAGAGCCACAGAGAACTAAAAAAGGCAGAGGAAGAAGGTAGCTTTGTTTTTCAGGTTAGCTAACCGGTGTTTCCTTTATCGGACAGCATCTTTTTACCTTAAAATTTAAGTTTTTATTTAACCTTTTACTTAAATTTTAAGTATTTGTGCGACGGTTCGTAGTTTTTTACGCCTAAAAAGTGAATGTACATTTTGCTTTGTTTGTTGTGGCTATATACTGGAGCGGATAATCAGCCGCGGAGCTTTGATTTTTCTTTACTTTTTTAAACTATTGTCTTATTTTGTTATTTTCAGGCTTTGGTCATGGAGAAGAAGGCGGTGCAGGCAGCAGCCAAAGAGTTTCTGCAGTTTGTCAACAAAGGAGTATCTCCATATCACGGTAAGTCTAGGAAAAGGCTGAAGGATAATCCTGAAGGCGTCACACTGAACCTCATTGACCAACCTTTTAAATTAAAGGTTTATTTACTCTTTTTCGGTTTTAAAATCAAACATCCCCTTTATTATTACACCATCCTGACCGATTAGTGCTGCTTTATAATTCGGCTAAAAGTTTTTGCGTGTTATTTACTTACAAACAGCTGCAGGATGCTGTTTATGGATGAGTTATTGGTCATCAGTTTTAGCACAAATGTAATCTCTGCTGTTTAAATGCAGTGTTCATAGGGAAGATATGGCAGTAATGACCTAATTTCAGAGATTATAAGACTATTTTTAAACTGAAATGATAGAAAAAATCTCTGCAAATATAAAACAACTGGTGATTGATAAATCAGGGAGGCTAAGTTAATTGTTTCCCTAAAGTTCGCTGTTTGACAGTTTCAGACAAACACCTTCTGCTTCACCTACTGACACCTGAAGCTGCTCCACCCATCAGTCATTTACTCAGAGTCTCACCTGCAGGTCAGGGAGTTAGGAGTTAAAAATATTCACTCATCCACATAAGATTTTCAGTCTCTAATTAAAATCATCCACCTCTGAGGTCCATTAAACAACTTAAATGCTGGACAGTTTAATGTTGAATGAATGCAAGGATAGGAAATTTATTTCAGACACTTTCATACAAACAATTTGACGACAACAATAAATTATTCAACAAAATACACACAAAGACTGGTTGAGATCAACCAAACTAGGAAACCAATTTCCAAACTTACTAAATTCAACGAACATAAATAGAAACAAAACACTTCACCTAATAAACCTGTCTGTATACACAGCCACAGAAATGGCACAATTTAATGTAATCTAATTTATTTTGGCCCTGATACCTGGCTGTGCAGTATTGGCTGACGTCGATACCATCTGTTTGAAATTGATGTGTGTATTAGTGGTGTCAAAAGTTCACACATTTGTTACTTAAGTAGAATTATAGATGCTGCAGTTTAAAAACACTCTAGTAAAAGTTGAAGTATCAACTTGATCTCTTTACTCAAGTAAAAGTGAAAAAGTATGTGCTCTGTTACGTCCCCTGGCTGAGTCTAGGGGGTGTAAGGGACCAACATAAATGTAGACAGTGAATGAAGGAGTGAAAATGGCATTTAAAAGTTTAATTCTGTCATTTCCTGTAAATAAATGATGGAAAAAGCTTCAGGGAGAGCCCAGGCCAAAATAAAAAACAAAACAACCCTAAAGAAAAAAGAAAAGTGGACTCACCTAACTCAATATGAAACCAAAATATACAAACCTACAAAATAACCTACATAACCAGCACATAAACAGGAGGAAACTGGGGTTAAACAAAAGGGCAACTCTCGCCTACAAAAACCATCCAAGCAGGTTTACTTAACAGCCCGTTAGATTCAACAAGGATCACAGAGATGTACGGCAGACAAATGGCTCAGAGGCACTGAAGTTCTGCTTCACAGGCCTTAAATAGTCTTCAGATGATCTTGATTGGACAGACTCAGGAAGCAGCAGCCAGTCTTAAAGGCGGAGCCTAAAACAGAGCAAGATGTTAATTGGATGCAAGAACAAAGACGTCCAACTTGGGGATGTAAGCTCCAAAAACTTCTTTAAGTTTAAAAGTATAAAGTAACCTTTAAAAAAAAAACAGCCAGATGCTACTTTATGAACTGAAAGCTCAATTTTTTGACTATTTCTAAAAATTCTGTGAGATAGGGCCAAGGATGAGGGAGGTCTGGTTGGTCTCCGTCTCCCGATACGCTCTCGCCTGTGTCCGACCTTTCAGACATTTCAACATCTTTTTCTGAATCCAACATTGTAGCATGGCATAGACAATTCATGTTAGTTTGAAGAACACCTGCTTGCTTCTGATGATTTCCTTTAGCTAACCAATGAGTGTTTGCGTTCTATGACTCATCCAATCACACTAGTTTTCACTAGATGTGGGTGGAGCCAATGATCTGCATTGGATGGAGCACATGACGTGAAATAAAGATTTAGAAACATTAAACTGAAGCCAAGAGTAACGAGTAACGTTTGATTTAAAAATGTAAGCAATAGAAAGTACAGATACTGGTGTGAAAATGTAATGAGTAGAAGTCAGAAGTAGGAAGAAAAATAAATAATAGAGTAAAGTATAGATACCTAAAAAGTGTACTTAAGTACAGTAACAAAGTATTTCTACTTCGTTACTTTACACCTCTGCTGCTAATGAGTAAATAGCATAAATCGATGTATGAAACAAGAGAAATCTAAATTTCCTACACATGTTTGATAAGGTTTGTTGGGTGTGAAGCTGTTTGCTGTCCTGTGAACAGATGTTGCGTCCGTCAGCAGGAAACGGAGCAGAACCAGGTTAGATTACCGGACGACTTTGAGCTCAAGATAAGATAAGGATGGAGCAGATATTTCATCACAAGTCCCATCCTCCTGCTCTTTAACCCAATGAATACTTTAGGTATAGCAACAAATAAATGAGAGACGGCCTGTTTTTAATATATTTAGGTGATAAAACTATAGATCTTATTGTTTTATCTTATCAAGATTTAAGCAGATTATCTTTTTCTGCTTTATTTGAGGTATTTGGTAGAACTTTAGATGTTTGGTTATTGTTGGTTTTTACCCTGGAGATATGTAGGAATCGCCATGGCAACCGTTTTCCCAATAATTCAGAGTTTTTTCTTGGGGACATCTTCCAGTTCTTGTTCTCTGGTTTCCTGCAGTGGTTGAAGAATGCAAACGCAACCTGCTGGAGGCCGGGTTCTTGGAGCTGAAGGAGACGGAGCAGTGGGACATCAAACCAGCCAGCAAGGTGGGTCGGGGTCAAAGGTCAGAAGGGGGTTAGGAGACCTAGCTTAACTTCAATAAACTAAAGATAATTGATGATCTCTGCAGTATTTTTTGACCAGGAACTTTTCCAGCCTCATCGCCTTCGCAGTGGGCGGACAGTACCGGCCTGGAAATGGCTTCTCCATGATCGGCGCCCACACTGACAGCCCCTGCCTCAGAGTACGGCCCCCAGCTCTCTTTTCTAAGCTTTATTCTGAGATTAAGGGGTTGTTAAGGTCTGGTCTGTTGTTCCAGGTGAAGCCGAGGTCTAAGAGGACCAAGCAGGGCTGCCTGCAGGTCGGAGTGGAGTGTTACGGTGGTGGCATCTGGAACACCTGGTTCGACCGAGACCTGACCGTCGCCGGCCGCGTCATGGTCAAGGTATCATTAGTACCATTTTTGACTTTTCATGGTTTAGACCAGAGGTCACGGATTAGCGGACCGTGGTTCGGATCCGGACCAACCTGCTGGCTAAATCGGCAAGGGCTCAAACATGTACGGCTGGAAGCCTTCTACACCAAACCAAGCTTCTGCCGCCCTGGCGTCCTCTTCCACAACATCTTCGTCCCCGCTTTCCTCCTCTAAATAAAAAGTGGATGACGGAGGAGACTCATCCACGACCTCCGACACTAAACTCTCCTCCTCTTGCATGTTTCCGCTGTCCATAGCGTTCCTTGACAGCGTCGTTTCTAAGTCACCAATTTAGTGCTACTTGGTCCCAATGGAATTTCCCATTGGAAACCTGTTAGCGCTAAGATGCTAACTGGTTAGCAAGATGCTTCCCACAAACCGGCCACAACCAAACTTGCTTGTGAACCTTCCGCCACAACAATCCCGCCCCCTTGATAATCGACCAATCACATTCACTTTATTCACTCGTGTAAAGTCGGGCACCACTTGGGAGAATTCGGAAATGCAACAATTGGAAGACCAGCTTCCATACAACTTTAAAGCCTTGCAGGGCGACCTAAAGCCCAATGCTCTCATTAAGCCCAGAAAAAGAAAGAAAGGAAAAAAAATGGTCGGTTCAGGTGTTTTATAAATAAAAGTGAGTCAGGAAATTCTATTTATACCAAACTGAACGATTGTTGTTTTCTACTTAGAAAACAATTTAGATTTCAAAATCTATTTAATTTCAGAATTTCTTAATATTCATAATGTGTTTTGTTTTTTTTGTTTTTTGTAATATCTATCACACCCTAATAAAGTCCATTAAATGTATTTGGACTGAGCAAATTTAAAATCATTTAAAAAGTTTTTACTGCTTATGAACTCAGTTGTTCCTTCTTTAAACTGTAGAGGGCGCCAAATATGCATCTAAAGTAACTCCCAAGTTTTATAGATGTTTTCTGGTTAAATGTTGAAATATTAAAGCACTCTGTGAGTCTGTTTATTTTCTTTAAATTCAGGTTTAAACTCATTAATATTTTTATTTTAAGCATCATCGGGTAATTTTATATTATTTTTCTGCCTGAACTACAAGCTTTAAAACATTGATTGCTGAGCGTAGATGACTCCCTCCTCTGGTGAGCCATCAGCTGCTGTTAGAGTTCAAAGTTCACTTGTGAATCATGGCCTCCTTCTTCCTCTCTGCAGAGTGATGGGAAGCTCCTCCACCGTCTGGTCCACGTGTCCCGGCCCCTGCTGAGGGTCCCCCACCTCGCCATCCACCTGCAGCGCGACATCAACGATTCCTTTGGGCCCAACAAAGAGAACCACATGTGAGAACCGAACCACAGCCGCTCCTTTAGACCCGACTGATCGGGTTCCAGCACCAGCAGGTTTCTCACTGTGGAAAAAGGAGCAAGAAGCAGCAGTTGTGTTTTCTGAGCTACAGTGAATGTACCGTTCTCAGTGATTTAGGTTCAGGATGATACTAAGATCTGGTTTCAGTGTTTTTCTCTGTGTTTGTTTGTCAGAGTTCCCATCATCGCCACGGCGGTTCAGGAGGAGCTGGAGATGGGCTCCTCTTCATCTGGAGACGCTTCCTGTGCTGCGAACACGGTAAAAACACGACGGGGTCAGCAGGAACACCTGAGCTGTTCTCTAAGAACATCCAGAGTTTAAACCACTTCCTGGTGGATAGACCTCTCCCAACTTCCTTCCTTCCTTCCTTCCTTCCTTCCTTCCTTCCTTCCTTCCTTCCTTCCTTCCTTCCTTCCTTCCTTCCT